AAAAAAAAAAAAATTCTTTCAAACACAACTAAACACAATAAAATGGAGTATATAACCAAACATGAAATTTACTAAGTCAAATTTCGTCAATTACAAACTCACAAGTTCAATTTACTACGATCTGACCAGAAAATACCGGTCCTCAGAGGCAACCCATTCCCCAAACGAGCTTAATATAACTAGAAAGAACAACATCAATGGATCAACAAACAAAAAGCAAATTAATCACAAAATTGATTAAAAAATTTAATCTTAGCTGGGTACAAGGCCATTGAATCGGACAGGACCCTTCTGCTTTAGTAGTAAATTTAGCTGAGCCTTCTGGCACCCCAACTTGGTGCCCACATTCTTGCTTCTGCAGCCAATTGCTCGAACCACTCTTGGAAATTCGACGAACCCTTTAATCCCTCGTTTGATATGAGGATTTTCAAGCTCTGGAGAATCTCTTCTCTGAATTGCCATTGAATGAAGTTTGCCATTGTTATCAGTGTTATTACACCCCGGTTTATCTGTCAAGACAAACCTTATTTTGTCCCTGTAAGAAACCCAACAAAAATAGAATGTTCAGTGACTAATTTGGATGAAAAGAAAACGAACGCAATAATTTGGATGACTAACAGTGTTTTTATATCTTGATTAGTAACAATGGAAGCAGTTGTAGCCTGATTATGATAAGTATCATTTTCATGATTCTTTTCTTCTTTCTTAAAACTTGATGACGCAATTTCAATCCGTTTAGAGTTTTCAAGTTCTAAAAGTTTTTCATCGAGCAAAAGCTTTGCTTCTGCGAGCTTCATTTGGACGCGTTCTTCCCTTATAACCTCAGACATGCGTAGCATTTTCATTTCTTCCTCCATTTCTTTCTTCATCCTTTCCATTTCGGCTTTATCATAGGATACTTCTTTAGCAAGATCTTGGCAAACTCGCTCCAATGCTTCTCTTCCTTTCCTCTCCACAGAAAGTTCCCTGGCCAGTCTTTTATTCAAAGACTCCATTTTTTTACGCGATTTGCATTCACATTCTAGCTCAGCCTTCAACCGAACAATCTGTCCTCGAGCAACATCAAGTTCAGATTCCATAAGGGGCTTGATAAAAGTTAAATCCCGGAAAGAAGCAGCGATTTTTCGTGCAGAAATAGGTAGATGGAGATGATGAATTTGCTTGTGAGTAAGATTTTCTTGTTGATGTGAAATATAAAAGGGGTTCTCGTACAGTTTCCAGGTTGGGCAAATGGAGGTTGTGATGGGGGCCATGGGAACTGTCTGATTCTGGGAATTTTCTTGGCTTCTGATCATCATCACCATTGCGGGGGTGTTGCTTTCTTGGTTGTGCTTTGTAGAGGAGATGGAACTTTTCTTGATTAGGACTAACCTTTTGCTTTAGCTTTTGGGTTTTGTAATTGATGGTAGGACCATTCTGCCCAATCGATGAACCTGCTTCTAGTGAGGATTGTAAAGGGGAAAGTAGCATCACATGCACCTCTCTGTATTTTATTACCATGTTGGATGGTGGGGCTGACCCTTCGATCTCTCTCTCTCCCGTTCGTGCGTGTGTAGAGATGAAACATACTTATTCCGACTCAGAAGGAAAAATACAATACAGTACTGGTGTATCATTGTCGAACCAATTTATAAAGCAATGCTACTTTTGATTTGCAGGTGAGGTTCTTGAAACGCTAATTATTCTCTCTCATGTCGGGTAATAC